AATAATAAAAAAACACTTTAAGAAGATATGTACATATAAAACTTCAAAATGAAATTAAAAAAAACAAATTTAAAAGAACATATTTACATAGAAAAAAAAAATATCAACACGATAAACAACGTATATACAAATTATTTTAAGTTAATTATTCACTTCCTTTTGTCTTATTTATTTTGGAAGGTAAAATTGTTTTATGCTACAAGGGGTCACAAACTAAAAAAAAATGTAAAATAAACACAAACGGGCCAAAAACTAAAAATAAACACAAACGGGCCAAAAGTAAACAATTTAATAAGTGAACGTAATAAGGGAATGACTGAAAACCAAATAATGCAATAACTCAAAAGTTTGGCGGATTAAGAAGAGGGAGGTTATGTAACATGATGACATGACGTTAGATAAGATAGATAAGAAGTGAGGTTTCAAAACGGCCTCTTAGACTAAAAGTACCTGAACTTTATTAAATTTTATAAATACATGTTTATAAAGTATAACTGACCGAAATTTAATAAGGATCGTGTTTGGAAGTCGTACAATACATGCTAAAGTGGACTCATGACAGATTCCTCGTCCCCACCACATCTACTTAACGGGCCATCATTTCAAGATTCAGCTAATTGTAAGTCATTTTATATTATTTACGAAACGTAACCTCAATCTTATATTCGATCTTTATCACTTTATCTTTAAATTCTAATGAAGTTCCAATTGACGTGTTGTTTCTTTTTTTTTTTTTTTTCAAGAAACAATCATATTTTTATGAGCAATTAGTATAATTTGAAAACTATGCGCGTCCGATGATGTATGCAACCAAGATTAGTGGCTTATGTGATATTTATTTATGAAAAATGAACTTAAAAAAATAAACCGATTTAATTTACATATAGTAAAATGTATCTATGTATTTTTAACATTACATTTTCTAAAATCAGTTTTTCACTATGTTCCTAAAACAGTCTACAGTTGCTTTAATTATTTAAGTTGAAGTTTTCTTCAAGAAAAACAACTATAACAACGCACTTAAAAATGTTAACATATAATATATGTTATATAACATATAATTATACAAGTGTTATAATATGATATTAATATTTAAAATATTAACATATAAAAATTAGAAACATGAGTGTAACTTAAAAATATAATTTTTTTATTTTTATATTTCAAAGTCATTTGGACTGAAATAAAAATAAATCTATAAACCATAGAACGTTTATAATTAATAAAATGTATCGTTTATAAGATTATAGAAGTATTATAATATATAGCACGTAATGACCTAATCTTAATGGTTTTCGTTATTAGACTCGGAAAATTAACTATATTAAAGCACAATGGCGTTTCATGTAGTTAGCAAGTCATGAATTAAGGATTTTGCAGTTAACATTGCACTCATGAAAGTTTAATCAAATTACTTATCAATAGTATTTCCGAATTCAAAGTTTAATTATAATGGATCGTTGCTTAAGTATTCCATTCTAAAGTAACAAATAATATACTTGACTAATTTTACTCCACAATTGATCACATTACGCATCTCATCACTCATTTATCCCATTGCGTTTCCAATATATCTATATGTATCATATTCTGGCATATATCAATTATTTAATGATTATCAGATAGCAGAATTGTAATTACATCACTATAAATTAATTTTGAATAATGATAAATGATTTAATTTCTATAAATACATTTTATATTATTAAAGATAAATGAGGTTCATTAAAAACGTTGTTCACTTTAGTTTTAAATTAAAAAAACAACCAATAGATTACAAATGAAACAAAGATTTTTGTATCTTGTTCTATTTTAAGTTAATGATATCACCACATTTAGTTTATTATCACATAGTAATAAAATTATTAATTTAGTAACATTAAAAAACAAAGTTAAAAGAGAATATTGTAAAATTTAAAAAAATAGGCAAATGTTTTGATAATTTTTTTTCTCCTCATATTTTTCTGGAGTTAGTTCATATTTGTATCCACATTTGTCATAGTCTTGACAACAAGCAGATGTAATGTTAAAGTAACGCAAATTGGCATTTTAGGCATGAGGAAGAATAGTACCCAGTAGCACATCTTCCTAGTCTTGGTTTTTTTTTTTACTTCAGCAAAGGAGATCTCTCATCCAGCTCCTCTTTAGTCGTCTCCTGGTTTGCATTTCAGCTGTGGCCATGTCGTTAATAAGTCCGTTGTGATGTCTGTGTAGTTTAAGATGAAATCGGGAGTAGAGAGTACGTGTTGTTCGACAGTTGGTTGTCGTAATTCGGTATGTAAGGTTTTTTGTTTACGTACCAAGGAGCTGATGTTATTAGTCTTAAAATTTTATATTGAAATTATTCCAGTTTTTGTAAGTGCATCTTTTTTGCAGAACCGTAAATTTGTGAGGTTTATGTCCATGTGGGTTTAAGCAGGTAAGTGTATGTGTTTAGTTTTTGTCTGATTTTCAGTTTTGATTTGGAACAAAGTGAGTAAAGTATTTTCAGTCGCTTATTCAAAGTCTTTCGTTTCATTTTAACATGTGGACCCTACGTCATCCTTCTGTGGAATATTAGCCCAAGATATCGTGCAGTGTCCGTCTGATGTATCTGATATTTGAAACAGGTGGGCATGTGTATCGTCGGAGCGTAATTGTTATATGTTGTGATTTGTCATGATTTAATCTAATTTTCCAAAGTGAATACTTATTTTGTAATTGTAGTAAGTGAAATTCAGTGAGGCTAGTCTGGGGTCGTGATATTTTATTGATAAATTTAAATACAGAAACAGAAAACAACAAAAATTATAAATTTTTAAATGAATCATATGTAAAATTATAGGCTTGCTTCTTTCATTTATTTGTTTCTGATTTAATATCCCTTCCTGTCGCTCAGGAACTGGAAGATAAGTTTTTATAAGTGGAATAAATCTTAGATGGTGTAACATTCATATTTTTTAAAACATTTTCTACTCAGCGATTTCTTGATCAATACATTTTCTGCTAAGAAATGTAATTTTAAATTAAACTTTTTTCAATTTCAAGCTTATAAAATAGTTTACTAGGATCCTTAAGTATATTTTAACATCAATTGAACTTGAGTAAACCATTTCTATTTGTTGGAACCATGCGAACTTTAATGTTTAAAAACTGTTCATTTTTTGATCAATTGTATACTTCATCACGCAGAAAAGTTGATTTTTAAGATATAAAAAAATAATAACAAGTTTATTTATTTTTTATGGATCATTTGAATACATAATATTTATTTGAAAGGGGAGCAGCTAAGCAGCGACATGAAGGCCATCTTTTACTTTATTTAAGCTTGGATAACAGATAAAAATTTGTATAATTAATTTTACCTGATGAAATTAGATCGACATATAAAATCAATGGAACAGCTGAATTTCTTTCCCATGTTTTATTTTTTTAAACATTTTTTATTTATTTATTATTTTTAACTTTGAAAATATGGTATATAACTATATAAAAATAAACAGGATAAATAGTGGTAAAACTATTTTATTGAAAGCCAACGTTTCGACGTTGAACTGAGAACGTAGAACTGAGTTCTAAGTGAAACTCCTAGATGAACACACCTCCCTGATGAAGACCTGCAAAGTCGGTTCGAAACGTTGGCTCTCAATAAAATAGTTTTACCACCATTTAGCCTGTTTATGACCGCAACCCTGGACCATCTCCTTCCTTTATAATGCAACGGTCAACTATTAAATATTCAATAAAAATAAACATTTTTAGCACCTATTCAATTCACATTTAACTTTTCAATTCTCTAAATTTAATCTTTCAAATATCTATATTAACCAATCTATGTTAAATCTAAATTTAAAATATCAACTTTGTTTCCTCTTAAAAAAATATTTATTCCCATATTGCTACGTCGGTTTGACTAAATTGTGCGCATACTGTAGTTATCTGCCAAATATAATATTTATTAAAAACTGGTATGGTATAAAGATTAAATTTTTTACTTTGTTAAAGTTTACAAAACTTAAAAAAAACAAATCGTTGAAATTAGACGATTTTATGCAAAGATATTTTATTTTTAAGTATTTCCCACATGTTTTGATGCAAAATTGATATCCTTGATTTTGGTTTTTACTTTTTAGAAAGTATTAAATCAACTCCAGCAATAGAGATTATTGCCTATATTTCTTAGCAAATCACTAAAATTAAATATACATAAATATTATATATATATATATATATATATATATATATATATATATAGTTTTATATATATATTATATATATATATATATGTATAGAGGGCTGAGTAGCCGTGTGAGCTAAGGCGCTTGCAATAATTAACCAACGCCGAGCATGGTTAGCACTTGGATGGATGACCGCCCGATTTGGGTAAACGTCCACCAGGGAAAACCACGTTGCCCGAGACCTCCCCCCTGGTTTTGTGAGGTCTTTCAGGCTACTGGAGGCAACTCACACCGACCGGGCGTAGGAAGGATGACCCTACTCCCGTGTACTTAATCAGGAATCGGGATGTGGTCTAGAAGACCACTTCTCGCGGTCAAAGATCTACAAGGTCTGTAGCGCAAACCAAATAATAAAATAATAATAAATAAATTTAAAAAAAGAAAATAAATATATACATACACGCCAATGTTAGAATCATATTTTTTTTCTTCTAATTCTTTTTTTTATTTTAATTTAGTTTTGTAATTTGCTAGTATTTTATTGTTTACTAGTTTTTTTGTCCTTATTATTTTCTATTATTCATATTCTTACTAGTTTTTTTTTCTGTTCTCGTTGATATTATATGTGTTGCTCAATATTATATTTGCTCATTAAAAAAAATGATTTTCTGTACAAGGAAAGTGTCATATATGATATATAACTGTTTGGAAATAATAAACAACTATGCAATAATTTGTAGTATTTCTTTTTCTTTTTTTTTAAGACGTATTAATCTAAATAATAAATTTTTAAAGCGAATGGTCAAAAGTATAACATTCTATAACAATGTTTTGATATGTATTTGATATCATGCAAATCATGCAAGTAAACTTGCAGAATAGAATTAAATTGAAGGGACATCTCTCAGCCCCATTGAAAAGAGGAAACCTATATGAAAGAAGAGATGGAAAAAATATGAAGATGACAAAGTGAGAGTTCCTTAAAACGTGGCAGCTATTGACGTGGAAAGCTAACTGCTCTATACATTTCCAACCTTTTTCTTTTTCCTTTTGTTCAGTTGTTTCTCTCCAATGCTTCTGATTTATTGTTTTCTGCAGAAAACTATAATGAAAAAAATCTTTGTAGTTTTCACAGGATATCTTCTTCATTATCATATTAGTAAAAAGTTGTTTTGTTTTTTATTAAAGTTGCTACACTCAAACTGAATGATTGCTCAATGTACTAGTTTACACGTCATGTACAGTTTAAAGTGAGTATTAACTGAATAAGAATTATTCCACTATAAATAAAAATTTTAAAAGTCGTTGTTTTAAAAAAATGTTTACATACCTTTAAGTTATTTTTTGTTTATTTCTTGTACTAGCTTTACCCGGCCACGCGCTGCTGTGGCTTAGTCTGGCAAAATGAAAATGAAATAAAATAGAAAGCACATATGAGTAGATTAGTAGCAAAGGACATCTGTCATTTTTAAAAAGTTGGGAAACAAATTTGTCTGTAAAATGGCTTCAATTTAAACTAATTCTAATGATTTTTTTCTCATGATTCAAATTGAACATTCATAATCATCTGAGTGAATACGCCGTCATTCATAATCATCAGAAACAGTCTGAGTTGAACTTATAAAACTAAATTAAAAAATTAATTAAAAAAACGTATAATAGTATTGACCTACATAAGGAGAATCATATAAATTCTTCAAATGATAATTTCAATTACTGTAGTAATTATAAAATATTCGATTATTCAATAAAAAAAAAAAATAATAATAAAAAAAATGCTTGCCGACGTTCGGTAGTGAGGAAGCAAAACGAAACGGCCTTTTCTGAAGAGAAAGCAGTAAATGTTTAAAACTCAATAACTCTGCAACGAACCGTCCAATTTCGATGATTTTTTTTTATTTTGTCAGCGCTTCAGAATTTTTTCAAATAAATGTGGGTATCATCAGTCAAAAATTGTGTACTTTTTTAGTTATCGTCAAATAAAATATTGAATTCATCGTAACATTTTTCAGCTTGTTTTCAGGAAAGCATGTTATACACATAAATTAAAAGGGTTTCAAGGGGAAGACTTTAGCCAAGTTTAGTTAAAATCGGCAAAGCCGTTTTGGCGCTACAGTTGATAGCGATACATTTTTTGCGGCTTTGAACAGAAAAACATTTACATTTTTAGTTTTTTTTACATATATAAAATTATCGTAAGACAAAAGTAATATGACAGAAACCTTCCCAGGAGTGTACGGAACAACTTCCCAAAGTTTCATGGCGATCGGTTGAATGGTTTAGTAATGCACTAAGGACGAACAGACGGACAAACAGACACATTCATTTTTATATAAATATAGATTTACTTTTTGATTATTACTTAGCTGTTATTTTTCTTCTATTTATTTTATATGTTCAGTACTTGTAGTGTGAATGTCGTCTTGCCTCACTATAATTATTTCCTATGTGACAGAATATTATATTACCTAATAAACAAATAAAAATCGGATCTTCAAAGTCTAAATGGCGATAAAAAAAAAAAAACATTCCTCTAAAATATCAATAAAACAAAAGTTCCAACCTACTGATTCGGAAAAGCCAAGAAGCTCTGGAAAAACCAAACTCTTCGTGTTTTTCATGCTCGATCAGTATTAGAAATAGAAAGCTCTAGTTGTATAAGTTGTAATTCATAATTCATTTAATGTTGGAAAATTAAAATTAGTTTTCTTGTACTTATTTTAATCTACAATTCATGTTTTTATTTTGATTAGTTTAGTTTTAAGTTTCTTGTTTATATATGCATTTAGTTATAGTTATAGTTAGTTTTAGTTATTTTATTTTGCTGTTTAATTTTTTTTATTTATTGTACATAGAGTATGAATGTGATCTCTGAACATTATTCTAAATATACTTTCAGACAGATTGTAATGTGTCTCATTAAAAAAAAAAAAAAAGTATATATATGTACAAATAATAAAATACACTGTATATTGTAGTAGTATAGATTCCTTTTCTAGCTCTTAGGAGTGATGGATTTTGATAAATTAGATATCAAAGGAAATGTTATTCCATGGAGAAGTGAAGAATCATAATTTAAAACTATAAAAACTTACTAAATTACATTACACTTACCTAAAGTCTCTATAGAATAAATTAATTATGTTTATATGTATATATTTATTTATTCCCATAACTGCGCTTCTCTCTAAAGCTGCAAGCTGCAAGCTACTTTTCTTTATATTGTGAAGTTCTACACCATCATGTGACCTCTCTATACTGGGGAAAGAAAAGGGAATCATAAAAAAACATTTCTCATAATGGTGGCAGAGAAAATGTAAGAGGAAAAAGCGTAAGAAAATTTTATGTGTGCCTCCATGTAAGAAACTCCTCAAAGACTGGAGCCTATAATTTTTATCGCGGGATTAGCATATACTCTTTTATTACGCGATAATACTGCTAAAGGGGAAAACACATTGAATCCATAGCTTTAAAATAAAGAGATAAATAAATAATTGCTATTATTTATTGTTTTTTTATGATAAACGTCTGATGCGTGTTTCGTTTACTTTTTGAGAAGCTTAATGTCGATTAACGAAAATATATTTTTCTTATTATGAAAGTTACTTCGGCTACGCATTTAATATTTAGAAGAAGTGAATCCCACATGCGTATCCGTTATTTTTAAGAAACTTGTTTAGGTAGATCTTGAACTTAAAATATTGGAATGTCATAAGTATAAGCGGATATATACTCCTAGAGTATTGAAAAAAATCTGAAATCTGTATAAGCAAACCGCACTTTATTTTATATCCCTTGTTCTAATGAAGGTAGGAAAATGAGCTGAGTACTTAACATCCTAACTGCAGAAAATTAAAAATAAAATAAAATAAACTATCAAAATATTCAATTATTAAGATGGTAAAAGTATTAGAAACAAAGATTTTTAGTTAAAAATGTCATCTAAAAATCTCAGTTGAGAGTGAGATTCCACTATCCCTCGACTCAATTCATGAGCGTCTGTTGCTTTAGTGCCTTCTCTCAGTTTCCACTGGACTCGAATGCCGGTGACGCGGCTGAGAGAGAAGCGCTGGGATCTCTTAGAGTTTCGCTTTGTCCTTCACACTTGGAGGAAAGGACTGGACTCGGAGCTCCCTTGGCTGATTGTAAATATTGTAATTAAGTATGAATGGTGTTCTTTTTTTATCTATTTATTTTTTTTACTTATGATTCATTTAACTTGCTAAGAATTTCTGTATTTTTTTTTAAATTTGATTTCAAGTTAAATTTATTCGGTTTTATAGTTTTTGCCTTTGTTTTATATATATATATATATATATATATATATATATATATATATATATATATTCTTTCTTTATTTTTTTACTTTTATGGTATTGTATATATGGTATGAATGTGCCTCACTCAGTTTTAGTACTCAGTGCCGTTAAGTGTGGCAAGATGTATTATTTCTCAATAAATAGATTTAAAAAACTATCCCACGAAATATTTCAAAATTGTTGAAGTGGTTTCTCTTACTCCAGGCGTACCACGTTCGCTTAGTCAGAAATTTTGCACTTAGATACTCTGTGAAGTAAAAGTTTTAAAAAAAAATTGAACTTCTATAATAAATAGAAATACGTTTTAAGAAGCGAATATTCATTCAGAGCCTTTAATTATCTTCTTTGTGAAATATCGCCTCGAAAATGATTTTTTCATAATTGCTATTTACAGATCAATGTTTCAAATCTGTATTTAATACTTTAAACTGGTCGGTTTTGTGTAAAGTCATAAATAAATAAATAAAAATGTGAATCCTCATAACATCTTATTCACTCATTATGATCCTTATAGATTATAATACACCTGTTTAAAATAATAAAATAAAAGGTGATATAATATAATAACTTTTTTATGTTTATTACATTAAAACATGTAAGTACAAATTAACTATTTTAGAAACCATTACAATCATTTTTTGTGTCGAATACTGATTTTTCGACTAATCGACCTAGGGAAACTTGATATTGTTCAATGCTGAAATTGTCCTCATCGCTAAAGAAACAAACTGGCTGATAAAGTTTCCCATCATATCAAATCGCTTCTTATTTACGACAAAAATATTACGGTCTTAAAACAATGTCCCTGGCCCTTACGTACCCTGGCCCTTACGTATTTTATATTGTCAGAGGAATTTCATATCTTTTAGGTTTTATGTTTTCTCTCATTTCAGGGATGGAAGAATTTTCGTTACCTTGGATATTCTGACCAACGAAACTTGATTTATTGATAAAATTGAGTAAATGATATACTAATTCAGTTTTATTTTCTTCAGAGCAGTCATAGGCCTATATAGCACACGTACAATACAGCTATTATTCGCCTTAAGCGGTAAATATATCGAATCATGACTCCTCCAAAAAAAAAAAAAGGTCTGAGGTCACAGCCTAACCACAACAAAAAAATAAAATAAATAAAAATTTAGACACTACAAAAATTTGTTTTTAGATATTTGCAATTATTTCACGTAAAGGATTTTTAATCGGTTGCACCGTTTCCGAAATCTTCACATCAACATAAATTTTAAATCTCGGTTCCCCCATCGGGGCTTTTTGCGATCCGGGAGTATAAATGATTGTTAGTTATTCTGCCCATGAAAATAATATATTTTATATAAATACATAGCAATATTTTGCGTTTACTTAGGTAGTTTACGGATTTTTTTCAATCTCATATAATTTTTTATCTCTTTTTTTAAAAAATGTTATTGTAATCATGAAGGGTACAATATTTTAGAAGGTATTAAAGCTATCTTTACTTATTACTTACTATCTTGATTAATGATTTTAGCTCTGATTTCAGATAACTATATCAATCGTTTAAACAAATGAAAATCAGTTATTGAAAAAAAAATTAAACTTATAATCACTGGATTTTAAGTTAGTTAGTTAGGTTTCTGGAAGTATTTTTACAGAAACAACAAAGTTGTTAATCTTAGTGATATGAATTGGCTTAATTCTAATCAAATTTTTATAAATAATGTTACGTAATATTATCTAATATTGAAGTGTTTATAAAAGAAGGTGTAATATACCACTTGTGCTTGGCTCACTGGGTAACAATCTTCGAGCGGAAATATAGTAAGATGAGAAATGTGTTACCTTGAAATAACTGTCATGTTAGGCCTTCTCTCAATAATTGGTAACCCTGTTAACTGATAACCACGGTCAAGGCACCGTAATAAGTGTCCAACGGCCAACGAAATGTAACCATTTTATCGGAAGCCGCAGATGGCTGTTCTGTGTTCTTCAACAATTGTGCCACAGAACCTCAGCCTGCTAAGTGAGCCAGGAATGCTCTTATTCTCGAGGGAATGATGATTGCTGTTTTCTGTGCCATTAGATGAACTGTTGCTATTTCGAGTAAGCTTTACGTAAGCTCAGTTAGCGAGGCGACGATCTGCAATTGCGTATTTATGTGGTATCTCCTTGGATAATGGACAACCTCTCTTATCTCTAAGGTCAAGGCGTCCAAGTCGCAATTCTATTATCTTCATATTGCATTTACATTTTTCCTCATAATTTAATTTAACTACTACAAAGTAAAATCTACTCAAGAGAAAACTTTTCTATTACATATTTTACGAAGAAGTTGGCATTTTAATTCGTTATGAAAATCTTTATTTCCTATTGACTTACAGTTGTTAGACAGCGTAACGAAAACCGTTTACCTTGAATAAAAAGGAACGATTTAACTGTAACTGGTAATTAATAGAGTAATTTCTTCTCAGCTAAGACTTCTCCGTGTTCGGAATGAAAGGACAAATTTAAATTTAAAAGATCTATTTTAGCGCAATTTACAGTCTTCAGATTATAAGTCAGTCAGCGTTAATAGATTTTGTAAATTATTTCTGCGAATGATGAATAGCTCATGCAAATTACATCATACAGAAATTACCTTATTTTTATTTCAGTAAATGTCAATGTTTAGATATTTTGTTGCTTAGATTTAAAATATAACATTGAGTCCAAAAAAAAAATTATTAATAAACGGTTACAATTTTTTTTTAACCTAATTTCATTCAATTTCTTTCAGTGTTATTCAATTAGAAAATCAACTACAGAATCAAGAAATCATTTTTTTTTTTTCTGTAGGTTCATTCATGAAAGGGAATGAGAAAAAGTAAAAATTCAAAATTTCAAAAACATAACATCTTTTCCAAAAAAAAAGATTAAAATTTTTTTAACCTAATTTTTTTTAATACTATCCAATTTTGGATTCAATTAAAGGATCAAGAAATCATTTTATACTTTTTTTTCTATAGCTTCATTGATGAAAGAGACTGAGAGATTTTTTAAAATTCAAATTCAGTTTTTTGAAATATTTTTTTAAAAATGTATACACGTTTGTTTACATAATTTAAAAAAATAAAACAAAATTGATTAAATTCACTCCAACTTGAAAATGAGGAAACATTTATCATTAACATGAGCATAATTTTAGTATTGTAGTATTTAGCCGTTTTAAAAAAAACTACCATTTATATTTTTATTTACATACTATTTAATATTTTTATTTATTGATTACACAAAAGCTCGTCAATATCTATTAAACAAAAATAGAAGGAAGAAGATCGGTTGAATAATAGAGGAGTAAAAGGGGCTCAACCGTTTTGCGTTTGCCTATTTATATATTAATAAAATAACTTAAAGGTAAGTAAATTAAAGAAAACATAAATACCTACATACACTATTTACAATCAAGCAGGGAAATTCCAAGGCAGGGTTGTTCCTCCAACTATAGAGAGAAATCAGCACTCCAGGAGATCCCTGCGCTACTGTCTCAACTACTTCTTTAAAGCCAGTGGATACTGATCGAGAGAGCAATAACATGAAATATTGAAATTTTCGTATTTTACATAGAAATCATGACGAAGAAATTACAAACTAGACGAATGTAGTATTTAATTTTTCGATACAAATATAACATACAATATCTTTCCGAAACTCTGTAAGCGTGTATGTAGGCCACCCTGATTGTGAGCGAAGTCGCATTCCCACGGTGACTAGCACTCTCGGGAAGTTGGCAACTCATGTCTCAGTCCTCTTTTCGGTCATTTTCATATCTTCTTCCATTCTTCTCTGTATTTGCACTTTCCCAACCACCATTGTCCCGCTTCCCTCTTCACAGGATC